ATTTAATTCCAGGCCGAATTAAATAACTTAAGTAATTTAAATCCGAAACCTGCCCGTCATATTTATGTTATTTAATTATTTAAATAAATTTCGATACTTAAATTCTTGAAATTATTTAAATTACTTAAGTCAATCTAATTAAGTAAAAAAACAATATAAACCCAAGCAAGCACGAGAGCCCGGGGGGCTGGAGACTACAGTCAGAGAGCTCGGGGGCCTGCAGACTACAGCCAGACAGCCCGGGGGCCTGGTGACTACAGCGAGACAGACCGGGGGCCTGGAGACTACAGTCAGAGAGCTCGGGGGCCTGAGACTGCCCGGGACCCTGGTGACTACAGCGAGCCCAAAGGCCTGGAGACTCTACAGTCAGAGAGCTCGGGGGCCTGCAGACTACAGCCAGACAGCCCGGACCCTGGTGACAACGAGAGAGCCCGGGGGCCTGGAGACTACAGTCAGAGAGCTCGGGGGCCTGCAGACTACAGCCACAGCTCGGGGCCTACGGCCTGCTTCGCGGGAAATCCCGTGGGAAAAGGAAGCCCTTATTTTTGAAGTCTTGCGAGATTTCTCGCGGGATGCGTTTTAATTTCGAAGGGGATCCGAGGGAAAACCAAGGGAAGTTCAAAGGGAAGTCCAAGGGAACAGTAAAAGGAAGATTTGACTCTCACGGGAAACTGAAGGGAAACCAAAAAAAACATCAAAGGGAAACCACGGGAAAACCAGGAAAACTCAAGGGAGAGCTCGCGGGAATTTCTCCCGCCAAAATTCGCGGGAGAAAAGTTTCGCGGGAGAAATATTCAAGGGGAATGCTTTTGTTAACGCTCGTCCCCGGACCCCCGGCTTTTTTACAAGCCTTATGAATTAACAAAACAAAATGTTCTTTTTTAAAAGGACTAAGAAGCGCATTTAAATATTTTAAATGAGTATTTGTGTTGCTGTTTTTTTATTTTTCTTGTAAGGCCTAGGCTTTCGGAATTTCAGGAAAATTGCAAAAAAAAAAAACTTAAATGGTTTATTTGCTAAAAATTACAAACAAAAATCCAAAAATATAACGTACCCATGGAACTTCATGGCCTTTCCAAATATTGAAATGCCCCTAGTTTCCTTAAAATCTATCAAATTTTAAACTAATATTCAAGTATTTTCCAGAAAGGGTCAGGCCCATTTAAATAAAAAAATTAAACTCAGTAAAACTATTGGAAAATGAATTTATTTTCCGGAAAAGTCAGGCCCATTTAAAATTTTAAAATCCTTAAAATCCTGAAAACCCTTAAAATTTTGAAAGCCCGGGCCTTTCAAAATTGTAAGGAATTTAAGGCCTTTTAAATTTCTTAAAATCCTTAAAACCCTTAAAATTTTGAAAGAAAATTAAATTATTTTCCGGAAAGAGGCAGGCCCATTTAAAATTTTAAAAATCCTTAAAATCCTTAAAATCCTGAAAATTTTGAAAGGTTGGGGCTTTCAAAATTTTAAGGAGTTTAAGGAATTTAACGCCTTTTAAATTTCTTAAAATCCTTAAAATCCTTAAAATTTTGAAAGAAAATTAAATTATTTTCCGGAAAGAGGCAGGCCCATTTAAAATTTTAAAAATCCTTAAAATCCTTAAAATTTTGAAAGCCCGGGCCTTTCAAAATTTTAAGGATTTTAAGGAATTTAACGCCTTTTAAATTTCTTAAAATCCTTAAAATCCTTCAAATCCTTAAAATTTTGAAAGAAAATTAAATTATTTTCCGGAAAGAGGCAGGCCCATTTAAAATTTTAAAAATCCTTAAAATCCTTAAAATCCTTAAAATTTTGAAAGAAAATTAAATTATTTTCCGGAAAGAGGCAGGTCCATTTAAAATTTTAAAAATCTTTAAAATCCTTAAAATCCTTAAAATTTTGAAAGCCCGGGCCTTTCAAAATTTTAAGGCTTTTAAGGAATTTAAGGCCTTTTAAATTTCTTAAAATCCTTAAAATCCTTAAAATTTTGAAAGAAAATTAAATTATTTTCCGGAAAGAGGCAGGCCCATTTAAAATTTTAAAAATCCTTAAAATCCTTAAAATCCTTAAAGTTTTGAAAGCCCGGACCTTTCAAAATTTTAAGGATTTCAAGGAATTTAAGGCCTTTTAAATTTCTTGAAATCCTTCAAATCCTTAAAATTTTGAAAGAAAATTAAATTATTTTCCGGAAAGAGGCAGGCCCATTTAAAATTTTAAAAATCCTTAAAATCCTTAAAAGCCTTAAAATTTTGAAAGCCCGGGCCTTTTAAAATTTTAAGGATTTTAAGGAATTTAAGGCCTTTTAAATTTCTTAAAATCCTTAAAATCCTTAAAATTTTGAAAGAAAATTAAATCATTTTCCGGAAAGAGGCAGGCCCATTTAAAATTTTAAAAATCCTTAAAATCCTTAAAATCCTTAAAATTTTGAAAGGTTGGGGCTTTCAAAATTTTAAGGATTTTAAGGAGTTTAAGGCCTTTTAAATTTCTTAAAATCCTTAAAATCCTTAAAATCCTTAAAATTTTGAAAGAAAATTAAATTATTTTCCGGAAAGAGGCAGGCCCATTTAAAATTTTAAAAATCCTTAAAATCCTTAAAATCCTTAAAATTTTGAAAGCCCGGGCCTTTCAAAATTTTAAGGATTTTAAGGAATTTAAGTCCTTTTAAATTTCTTAAAATCCTTAAAATCCTTAAAATTTTGAAAGAAAATTAAATCATTTTCCGGAAAGAGGCAGGCCCATTTAAAATTTTAAAAATTTTAAAAATCCTTAAAATCCTTAAAATTTTGAAAGGTTGGGGCTTTCAAAAGTTGAAGGAGTTTAAGGAATTTAACGCTTTAAATTTCTCGTTAAAATTCTTAAACTCCTTAAAATCCTTAAAATTTTGAAAGAAAATTAAATCATTTTCCGGAAAGAGGCAGGCCCATTTAAAATTTTAAAAATCCTTAAAATCCTTAAAATCCTTAAAATTTTGAAGGCCCGGGCCTTTCAAAATTTTAAGGATTTTAAGGAATTTAAGGCCTTTTAAATTTCTTAAAATCCTTAAAATCCTTAAAATTTTGAAAGAAAATTAAATTATTTTCCGGAAAGAGGCAGGCCCATTTAAAATTTTAAAAATCCTTAAAATCCTGAAAATCCTTCAAATTTTGAAAGGTTGGGGCTTTCAAAAGTTTAAGGATTTTAAGGAATTTAAGGCCTTTTAAATTTCTTAAAATCCTTAAAATCCTTAAAATCCTTAAAATTTTGAAAGAAAATTCAATTATTTTCCGGAAAGAGGCAGGCCCATTTAAAAATTTAAAAATCCTTAAAATCCTTAAAATCCTTAAAATTTTGAAAGGTTGGGGCTTTCAAAATTTCAGGAATTTAGCGCCTTTTAAATTTCTCAAAATCCTTAAAATCCTTAAAATTTTGAAATAAAATTAAAATATATTCCGGAAAGAGTCAGGCCCATTTAAAATTTTAAAAACCCTTAAAATCCTTAAAATCCTTAAAATTTTGAAAGCCCCAACCTTTCAAAATTTTAAGGATTTTAAGGGTTTCAAGGATTTTTAAAATTTTAAATGGGCCTGCCTCTTTCCGGAAAATAATTTAATTTTCTTTCAAAACTTTCAGGATTTTAAGGTTTTTAAGAAATTTAAAAGGCCTTAGATTCCTTAAAATCCTTAAAATTTTGAAAGGCCCGGGCTTTCAAAATTTTTTTAAGGATTTTAAGGATTTTTAAAATTTTAAATGGGCCTGCCTCTTTCCGGAAAATAATATAATTTTCTTTCAAAATTTTAAGGATTTTAAGGATTTTAAGAAATTTAAAGGCCTTAAATTCCTTAAAATCCTTAAAATTTTGAAAGCCCCAACCTTTCAAAATTTTAAGGATTTTAAGGATTTTAAGGATTTTTAAAATTTTAAATGGGCCTGCCTCTTTCCGGAAAATGATTTAATTTTCTTTCAAAATTTTAAGGATTTTAAGGATTTTAAGGATTTTAAGAAATTTAAAAGGCCTTAAATTCCTTAAAATCCTTAACATTTTGAAAGGCCCGGGCTTTCAAAATTTTAAGGATTTTAAGGATTTTAAGGATTTTTAAAATTTTAAATGGGCCTGCCTCTTTCCGGAAAATAATTTAATTTTCTTTCAAAATTTTAAGGATTTTAAGGATTTTAAGGATTTTAAGAAATTTAAAAGGCGTCAAATTCCTTAAAATCCTTAAAATTTTGAAAGGCCCGGGCTTTCAAAATTTTCAGGATTTTAAGGATTTTAAGGATTTTTAAAATTTTAAATGGGCCTGCCTCTTTCCGGAAAATAATTTAATTTTCTTTCAAAATTTTAAGGATTTTAAGGATTTTAAGGATTTTAAGAAACTTAAAAGGCCTTAAATTCCTTAAAATCCTTAAAATTTTGAAAGCCCCAACCTTTCAAAATTTTAAGGATTTTAAGGATTTCAAGGATTTTTAAAATTTTAAATGGGCCTGCCTCTTTCCGGAAAATAATTTAATTTTCTTTCAAAATTTAAGGATTTTAAGGATTTTAAGAAATTTAAAAGGCCTTAAATTCCTTAAAATCCTTAAAATTTTGAAAGGCCCGGGCTTTCAAAATTTTAAGGATTTTCAGGATTTTAAGGATTTTTTAAATTTTAAATGGGCCTGCCTCTTTCCGGAAAATGATTTAATTTTCTTTCAAAATTTTAAGGATTTTAAGGATTTTAAGGATTTTTAAAATTTTAAATGGGCCTGCCTCTTTCCGGAAAATAATTTAATTTTCTTTCAAAATTTTAAGGATTTTAAGGATTTTAAGAAATTTAAAAGGCCTTAAATTCCTTAAAATCCTTAAAATTTTGAAAGGTCCGGGCTTTCAAAATTTTAAGGATTTTGTGGTCCTTTTAAAATTTTGGAAAACCCCTAAATTCCTTAAAATCCTTAAAGTTTTGGAAGGCGAAGCAGGACCGTCAAATAACGCATAAAGGTCCTACATACTTTAGGGGTTTCCTTAATTAGGTACATGGACCCTTCGGGGTGTTTAGGGTGCTGACGAGGACCTGCCGGGCACCCTTCGAAGGGAATCCGACCACCGCCTCATGCCTGGTGCGCCGCGACCCGGGGAAGGGGAAGGGAAGGTGGGGTTTAGGGTTTAGGGTTTGGGGTTTAGGGTTTAGGGTTTAGGGTTTAGGGTTTAGGGTCTAGGGTCTAGGGTTTAGGGTTTAGGGTTTAGGACTAGGACCCAGAGTCGGCCTTTAGTGGTAGGGTTTAGGCCCCCCAATAGGGGGTACGATAATCCCTCTTAAGGACTGTTAGAAAAAGGGGGAACATCCCAAGCTTTGCCCCCAAACATTAAACTCTAAACCCTAAACCCTAGACCCTAGACCCTGACCCTAAACCCTAAACCCTAAACCCTAAACCCTAAACCCAAAACCCTCCCTTAAGAGCCCTCGAATCTTAGGGCGAAATTTGAGCTTTGTGGCTGGTCTCGGCTCTGTAGCCGCAGCCATGAGACCTCCCGCGCCTGGAGGGCTCTTCGTGTGCTGGCTGCTCGGAGCAATGCTGTTTAGGGTTTAGGGTTTAGGGTTTAGGGTTTAGGGTTAAGGTTTAAGGTAGTCAAAATCCATGAGGCTCCGGCAGTTGCCTAGTTGCTTTCGGAGGCAAAGAACAGTGCTGCCGCCCGTCGTGATCGCCACATCCTTACAAAGGGAGCGAGCGAAAAAGAGGAACAGACAAGATCCCTCTTGAGAGGCGATGTATGACTGCTGAGGGAAATCCTGGTGGCGAAGACTCGTCTTGAGGTACCGCAGGGGTCCTAGTACCCAACGCCATCAAACCAAGTGCGATCGAAAGTGCAGGTAAGTGTAAAGAAGTAAGTATGTGCGTGTGCAAACCAACAACACCGAGGGCTCTACTCACCCTAAACTCTAAACCCTAAACCCTAAGAACTACCACTATTTGCTACAGAACCCCCCGCCCCCCCCCGCCAAAAGAAAGAGCAAAGACAAGACAATGATCCCTACACTGCCCTTACAAGGAGGAACATGGTTGAGTTTTTGTTTTTTTTTGGGGGGGGTTCTTAAGCCCATAGTAGACTAGGATCAAAGTACTGCTACAAACTGTAGCCGTATATGAAGCAGGCTTTTGGTTGTTACTAGTTTCCCCAAAAGGACACCCAACATTTGCTCTCACCGGCGTTTATCCGGAACCGTGATGTACACTCACCAAATTGCTAGACACATCGTTGCCCTTTTAGGGTTTTTGGTGTAGGGCCAGCTTCCACTAGACACAAGAGTAACCTAGGAATAAAAGGGGTACCCTTCTTGGTACTTCTGATTGTTTTTTTTTTTTGGGGGGGGGGGCTATAGACTGCCCTTCTTTGAAGCCCTTTCAACACCAGCAGGTGGCCCTTTTTTCTTCCTAGGCTACCCCTGGAAACCCTCAAAACCCTCAACTCACTTCGGCCTCAGCCGCTACTTAAGATGGGAGTCCGTCGACCTCTTCCACAACAAGTCGTAGTAGGGTTTAGGGTTTAGGGCTTGGGCTTAGGGTCCCAAATCCTAAGCCCCAAGCTCTAAAAACCCTAGATGCACCACATCCTGAAATGTCCGAGCCGGGAGTTTCCTCACTTGCCTAGCACAAGTCTCCCCAAGCCCCGGTTTTCAGAACAACCCTAAACCCTAAACCAGGGCCGACTCACACCCCAAAAGCCACTGCAGCTTAGGCAGAGTTTAGGGTTCAGGGTTTGCGGTTTAAACTTGGGATGTCCTTAATAATGAGGACTGCCGGTTTAGGGTTTAGGGTTTAAGGTTTAGGGTTCAGGGTTCAGGGTTCAGGGTTCAGGGTTTAGGGTTTAGGGTTTAGGGAGGGGGAACATCCCAAATTCAAGCCCTGAATGTTCAGCGTTGGGCTTCTGGCGCATCTTTTTGCCTCCATCAACAGGCCTCGAACACCGACCCCAACGGCCTCCTCTTCCGGTCGCCGATCTGCTCCTCGGCATGGGTTTAGGGTTTAGGGTTTGGCTCTTTTTTCACCCTAACCCTAAACCCTAAACCCTAGACCCTAGACCCTAGACCCTAAACCCTAAACCCTACCTTTATGGGGGAGAAGGGATGCCAGCAAAACATCAGCGAGTTTAGGCTAAACCCTCCCTAAGAGCCCAATTCCCCTTAGTCAAGGAATGCACCTTAAATCATATTAAGGGTCCCTATTTAGATTGAGGAATATTCCCTAATCAAAGGAGATTGGGGCGTTAGGGCTACTTGCAGGTTCATGGGTGACCTGGGGGGCTTATAAGTACAGTTGAACCTCCAACTACTGCCTCAAAACAGCACATAACTAAATGCTTCAGAGCAAGTGCCACCCACAATCACGCAGAGATTCTGATTTGAGGATCCCGTCAATCTCGGGTACAGATAGCTGCAGCATGCTGCAGCAGGGACTTGCAAAACGAGCACACCGCAGGAATGCACCATGCCTTGGGCAGTTATTTGCCAGGGGCCCTGTGTTTCCAAGTGGCGACATGTCGAATTCATACGACACGGTGTCCAGGTCTGCTGAGCCATGGACGGTGCTCAAGCCTCGCTTTGCTCTTGTTGGGTCCGCCAGAAGCTCCGGAAGATTTCCGGCCTCCACGCAAGCGCATCATCCAACGACGTTGAAGACGATGAGGAGAGAGAACGTGCAGCTCTGCGCCAGGAAAACGTTCCTGGAGTATCGCCAGGTGGCACATTGCAAAATGCGCAGCCGCAGCGTGCCAAAAAAATATGCGACCGTGCAAAAAGACCGAGAGAGTCAATGGCATGGCGCATGGCAACATGGGGGAGAATGCTGGCGACCAGCTCAATCATCTTGCCGACTATCCTCCCATAGATGATGCTTATGAGCCATTCTTAGCCCCGGAAATGATTGCGGCAGAGCGTCTGTGGAGGCGCGAGGTGATCGGCTTGATGGCATGGCGCCAGGTGCCTGCCAAGCCTCGTTACTGTCGAAACGTTTCGACAGTAATGAGGCTTGGCAGGTACCTGGAGCCACAAGGCATGCTGCGTGAGTGTGGCTTGAGAGAAGTGCATCAGACTGTCAGGGATTGTTCCTGCTGGATTCTATGGCTTCTACAGCTCCGACATCCGAGCAAAGTCAGCATCGCGTTCTCCTTTTTGGGCAATCTGACTTGCGCAGCATTCTGCTTTCCAGCATTTCCCACCTGCCTTTCTGTTTGACGTTGCAGGTTTTGGGAAGTTCCAGTTCTTCACTTTGCTGCCTAACGCAGTACTAATTACCAATTGCTCAAGAACGCCAACAAAATCCAAAGGAGTTTTCCTTCCAAGGGTAAAAAAGGGATTTTGTTTTGACGGGGGGGGGGGGGGTTTTTAAGTCGCAAGGCATGCTGGCTGGGTTTGGCTTGAGAGAAGTGCATGGCTCCGGCCAGGGAGTGTTCCTGCAAGACCACCAAACCCTAAACCCCAAACCCCTCTCTGAAAAAACGCTAGCCGACCTTCCTGTTTGCAGGAGGCTTTCAATCAATCTCAGAAGGGGCACTGCAACAAGAAACCTCTAAACCCTAAACACCTAAACCCAAAACCTAACCGGTTTTATTTTTCGGAACACCCTAAACCCTAAAACCTAAACCCTCAACCCTCCGAATTCAGAGGTCGGCTGCCGGACAACTTCGACCCTCTCCCGCTGGATCCGGGCTTTGCAGGCCTGGGCGCTTGGAATGTTTCAGGGTTCAGGGTTTAGCGTTTAAGGTTAAGGGTTTAGGGTTTAGGGTTTAGGGTTTTAGGTTTGCTGTCTAGTATCCCCAAAAAGACGCTCCGTGTATGTATGTAAACATGTATACTCACCAAAAGCCATAGCAAACAAACTCACTTCACATTGTTTAGGGTCTCCGGTTACAAGTGCCCGCTGGGATGTTGATGGGTAGTTGTAGTTCTTGTAAGTAGGGTCTAGGGTTTAAGCTGTAGGGTTAGGGATGCAGCCATGGCAGGTTCGAACCAATTGGGGCGAACCTCGAACTTCCAAGCCAACGACCAATAGGATTCAGTGGTCGTTCGAGCTTATATACCATTCTTAATCTAGCACATCCCCCCAAAAAAACAGATTGTGGACAAGACGTGCGCAACCAACCGGCGAATAGCCTACGTAAGAAAGGGAAACACTAACAACCACAACTAATTGCTTAAGAACCCCCCCCCCAAAAAACTCAAAACAAATAGTCCTCCTTATAAGGGTTGTCATTGGTATTTTTGGCGGGGTTCTAAATAGTAGATCAGCAACTCTGTTTACAAAGCCGCAAAGCTGGTAGTGGTACGAAAGCCGCAAGTTCTCCAAGCCCCAGGCCTTCACACCTTCAACCACCCGAACCCAAGCCCTAATCCCTACTTAAACCCTCAACAACCCCCAAACCCTAGACCCCACGCCCCAAACCCCAAACCCCAATCCCCAACCCCCAACCCCGAACCCTGAACCCTGAACCCTAAAGCCTAAACCCTAAAGCCACCCTAAACCCTAAACCCTCAACCCTCAACCCTAAACCCTAAACCCCAAACCCCAAACCCTAAACCCTAAACCCTAAACCCCCGGCAGAGCCCGACATGAAGCCCTTGAAGCCCGAGGTACATACACAGGGTTCAACTGCAGCCCCGGCTACGCTGGGCCCATTCAGACCATCTGCCGTCGACCCAACATGTTTGTGCGGTTTAGGGTCATTAGGTGTAGGGTTCAGGGTTTAAAGGTTTAGGGTTCAGGTTGGAGCCCTAATAAACCCTAAACCCTAAACCCTTCTCTCACGGGTTTCAGGGTTTCAGGATCAGATTCGTAGCTTCGTAACAAACCATTTCCGCGGACTTAGATGAGAAGGAGACGGGGCGCAAACCCCAAACCCAAAAACCAACCGCAGAAATAGTCTGGTGGAGACCCTAAACCCTAAACCCCAAACCCCAAACCCCAAACCCTAAACCCTAAACCCTAAACCCTAAACCCTAAACCGCAAACCCCAAACCCTAAACCCTAAACCATTTCGCAGGTGGATCCCTAAGGCTGCCATGCTCAACTGGGTTTAGGGTTTAGGGTTTAGGGTTTAGGGTTTAGGGTTTAAGGGTTTATGGGTTTAGGGGTTTAGGGGTTTTAGGGTTTAGGGTTAGGGTTCCAGTGCTCACCAACTTGCCAGTTTCTGTCAGGTCTTGGGCCGCAGCAGCTCGAAATCCTTAAGCCGCAAGGGTTAAGCCGGCGTTTAAGCCCTAATTACAGAGGACCCTCCCCAAAAAAAACTTTTGCAGCCAGAATAGTTGCAGCAGCAAAGATATAAACTGCGGCCATCATACTGACAAAAAAGAAAAAGCACACAATACACCCGTGCTTTGGGCTTTGGGGTTTTGGGGTCTGGAGGCTCGCGTTGTAGGAACTTGGGGTTCAGGGCTTGTAGGGAGGAAGTTCGGGAGGTTTAGGGCACTCCTAAGAGCCCCTTTGCCGCCCTAAACCCTAAAGCCTAAACCCTGAACCCTAAGAACCCTGCCCCTTAAAACCCTAAATCCTAAGCCCTAAACCCTAAAACCCTTTCTCCCTAGAACGCCCAAAGGCCCACACGTCAGAACCGTTCAAAGAAGGTAAGGGACCACATTAAGGCACCACTTCATGGTACCGTGCTCCGCTTCTTTAGGGTTTGTGCTGAAGCCAAGCTGTAGCCCTGAAGAGCCGGTTGCCCTGGTGCGTTGTCCCCCTGCCTAGCTTGTGGATGTCAGGGCGGGAGGCAGGTGGGCAGAACACACCTTCACATGGTCCACATACCCGAATCTACTTCTTGAGTTTGGGTTTAGTTGAGGACTTGGTCGAAGCACTTGACCCTTCTTGAAGATATGTTTCAAGTGTAGTTGGTTCTGTTGAAGCTTATAACAGACCGGATTTCCAAGAGTTCTTCTGAGAATGCCAGGCATGGAGGAAGGCTGCCGGATCTTCACGCAGACGACTCAGAGCTCTGCAAAAAATTCGCCGTCCAAAACCCCTTGTTCGTTTATCCGGGACCTGGCCAGGTGAGGGGGGGGGTGGGGGCGGGGGGGGGGGAGGCCGGGGGGGGTAGGGTTGATTAGTCAAGCATACGCAAAGTGCTCAATACCCCTTCACAAACATCATTCTCAGGATCCCTGCTTCCTAAGCTTTAAAGGGAGAGTGCCTTGGGCTATGGGAGACCTGTCCTTGGAGCCCCCTATGCAGATTTTGCGATTTTGGGGTTCTTATTGGTGACTTGCGCTCGACTTGGGGCCCTTATGCTCTAAACCCTAAGCCCTAAGCCCTAAGCCCTAAACCCCAAACCCCAAACCCCAAACCCCAAACCCTAAACCCTAAACCCTAAACCCTAAACCCTGAACCCTGAACCCTGAACTCTGAACTCTGAACCCTAACCCTAAGCCCTAGGCGTGGGAGCTTCCTAAGGTATCCTGACGGCTGCGCGCCACCGGTGCCCTGCCGCGTGGGCAACTTTGTGGACCGGGCGGAGGGCGGGAGAGGTGGCCGATGTGAGAGTTAGACCCTAAACCCTTAACCCTAAACCCTAAACCCTAAACCCTAGGGTTTAGGAGTCCGGAGTAGGGTTTAGGTGTAGGGTTTGGGATGTTCTCTCTCATACTAGACGTCCTTAATTGGGATTTTAGAAATATTTTAATAGGGGGGGGGTCCCTATGAAGGACTGTTAGTATAAAGGGGGAACATCCCAACAAGTGAGGGTCTAGGAGTCCGGAATAGGGTTCAGGAGTCCGGAGTAGCGTTCAGAGTTTGGGGTTTAGGGTTTAGGCCCTAAGCCCTCAACCTAAACCTAGACGTTATAGATACTGAGCCCTTAACCCCATAGACACGCTCTCTCGCCCTACCCTGGAGAAGACTGAGAAGCCCGAAATCGTCTACCCCCTCAAGGCCCAAAATCCTGGATCCCCTAAACCCTAAACCCTAAACCCCTACAGCCCTACAGCCCTACAGCCCTACAGCCCTACAGCCCTACAGCCCTCAGCTTGGGCTGAACCCTGCTTCGTATCAGGACGTGGACGGCCGCCGAGGCCCCCGCGCTTCATGCAGATTCCGTCTTCCGGGGTTTGGGAAATATAGGGGTTTCCGAACATAGGTTTACCCTTGTGGGGGTCCCATGGAGGGGATTCATTCTATTTGGGGTATAAAAGGGGTACCCCTATTTTTCGAAATGCCCGTATAGAGTTTGGTTCAGCCCGTTGCCCTGTGATCAGGTTTAGGGTCTAGGGTTTAGGGTTTAGGGTTTAGGGGTTTAGGGGTTTAGGGGCTTAGGGGTTTAGGGTTTAGGGTTTGGGGTTTAGGGGTTTAGGGGTTTAGGGGTTTAGGGGTTTAGGGGTTTAGGGGTTTAGGGGTTTTGGGGTTTTGGGGTTTTGGGGTTTTGGGGTTTTGGGGTTTAGGGGTTTAGGGTTTAGGGGTTTAGGGGTATAGGGGTCTAGGGGTCTAGGGGTTTAGGGGTTTCGGGGTTTCGGGGTTTAGGGGTTTAGGGGTTTCGGGGTTTAGGGGTTTAGGGGTTTAGGGCTTGGCCCCCAAAAGGAAGCCCCGGCCCCCCATCCAGATGTGCTGGGCCGATAAGAAAGCCCTAATGGGTTTAGGGCTTCGGGGTTAGGCTTTAGATCCACTGGCCCCTGTCCCTTAAATAGCCCCTTTCCTTGGGGGATCCAACCCAACAAAACACAAAAAGTTAGGAGACCTGCCTAAGAAAAGGTGACTTTTGTCAAACCTATTCTGCTTTCATGTCGGCTCTAATAGGAGTTGTCGGATTTCTGTTTCAGTCGCGGGTGTGTTTGGGGGGTTTGGGCCCGGCCAGGCAGTCTTCGACTAGGTACCGTAAACCCCAAGCCCTAAACTCTAAACCCAGCCTCGGAACTTAAAGGGTTTAGGGTTTTGGATCAGAGTTTCGGGTATCGGTATAGGGTTTAGGGTTTATCCACCCCAATCCCTGAACCCGGGTTTAGGTGCATTTTTCAGCAGGATACATCGCTGGCAACCTGTCTTTCGGACGAAGTCAGTTGGACGAGACTCTCAACACCGGCCAGGCGTGCGCTGCCGTTGGAATTCCGTGGAGTTTAGGGTTTAGGGTTTGCGGAAGCAGGGCATCTATTCCATACTATGGCATGGCCTTACTTGGGGTACTGATCGCCGTGCTTATCGCTACCTGTGGCCATACCTAGGGTGACCTGTAGCACCCCGAAAGCGTACAAGGCACCTTAGTTGTGGGTAAAGGTGGGGGATCCCAAGCACGGGTCACCTTCTAGGTACATATTTACCATAGGACCCCTGAACCCTAAACCCTAAACCCTAATTGGGTGGCGTTCTCGACGATGAGGCGCCTATCAACTCAGAGAGACATTGAGCGTTCGGTCTTTTGTCTAGGATGCCCAGTACTACCCTTACTACCCTAAACCCTAAACCCTAAACTTTACCCTAAACCCTAAACTTTTTTCGGGGGTTAGGTTCCCCTGTAGACAGGCCCCCCTTAAACAAAACGGGGCACCTTGTTTTTTGCTCCCAGGCACCCTTTTTTTCTACGTAGGTTGCTGGGCAACCTAGTTGTGGTCCAGGTTTCCCGGTGTAAAAATTTAGGGCTCCGAGAGGAATTAGGGTTACGTTTCGGCATGGTTTAGGGTTTAGGGTGTAGGGTGTAGGGTTTAGGGTTTAGGGTTTGGGTTTGGCCTTCTTGCCCTGCACGGGAACCTAGTCATAGAAGCACGTCAATGGGGCGAGCTCCAGAGCTCAAATCCGAGACCCCTCAAGCTTAAGCCCCTTGCAGCCACCGTAAATCCTAAACCCTAAACCCTAAACCCTAAACCCTAAAAGCGCTCAAGCCTCTACTTGTCCCCTAAACCCTGAACTCCACACCCTTAACGCCTTAAACCCAGAAGGAGCACCAGAAATCCTCAAAACCGAGAGCCTTAGCCGCTCCCTAGAATCACCAGCGGAATTTTCCCAAAAAGACAGAATGAAACACAAACTTCAAAGGCAAAGCAATAACACCTTTATAGGCATCAAGACAGCTAGAAAAGTATCTAGACTAAGCAACAACGCATTGGCAAAAGCTGAGCTTGGTGTAAAAGAGGCCCCCACACCCCGGAAACGTTAAGGCCCCTCAAGACCCTAGACCCTAAACCCTAAACCCAACCTCCTTGAAACCGTAAGCCCCTCAAGCCCCGCCACCCAATGTTTTTTTTACTTATAAGCTCAAGTTCTAGGCTCCAGCAGGGGTTTAGGGTTGAGGGTGTAGGGTTTGAGGGGCTTGGGGTTTAGGGCTTCGGGGTTTAGGGTTTAGAGGTTTAGGGTTATAGGGTTTTAGGGGTTTAGGGGTTTAGGGGTGGTTTAGTGGTTTAGGGGTTTAGGGGTTTAGGGGTTTAGGGGTGGTTTAGTGGTTTAGGGGTTTAGGGGTTTAGGGGTTTACGGGTTTAGGGGTTTAGGGGTTTAGGATGGGGCTGGAGGGTTTACTCCGGCTCTCCTGCTGCATCCTTAAATTCAAGGCTTTTTGAGCAGTTTGCGGCTGCAAGGGCCCAGCCCAGGAACCTCCCAACACCTATGAACGGGGTTTAGGGTGTAGGGTTTAGTGTTTTGTTTGGGGTGTTGGGATGCCCTAAACCCTAAACCCTAAACCCTAAACCCTAAACCCTAAACCATCTTGGGCGTTCAGGGCATTTTTCATCCTAGAAGAGCACACCCTCATTCTTTTCAGGGTCCTCACCCACGGATTTGGGCACCTCCTTACTACTTCTTACAGGTGTAGGGTTTTGGGTTTAGGGGGAAGCTGGGTAAAGTTGGTTCGAATTTTTACAGTAGCCTACATGATTTGTCCCCTGAGAATCAATGCGTGATTGCAGTATGAGCTCGCCAGAGAAGTGTGTCTCGCAAAGCTGGCTTAAAGTCACAACTCAGTACACATCCGTTCCCGCACTCCCTCGCGAGATGGAAATCTCGGAGGCGCCGCAGGGATTAAGGCTGGGTTTAGCGTGACGGGCCAAAAGTCCTGCACTGCACCCTGCACCCTGCACCCTGAACCCTAAACCCTAAACCCTGAACCTAAGCACCTGGCGAAGTGCTGTCTCAAGTGGCCGGATGTGGGTTAGGGTGTTGGGGGTTTAGGTGTCATGGGCGAGCCTCTGTTTGAGCCCACTTAGAGGCTCACAGAAAATCTATTTCAAACCCTATAAACCCTATACCCTGGTCCATACACCTATCCTATGGCCGTACAGGGTTTGTGGTCTTGATTTGTACATGAAGGCAGCTCATGATAGTGCAGATGGTTTGTGGACCCAATGTTTTAGCATCATACTGCCAGGATATATATATATATATATACATATATATATATGCTGTCAATGGTTGCCCATCGAAAATGTCAACTCTTTCTCTCTCTCTCTCTCTCTCTCTCTCTCTCTCCCTCCCTCCCTCTCTCACTCTCCCTCTCCCTCTCCCTCTCCCTCCCCCTCTCCCCCTGCTTCCTTTCCCTCTCCTCCCTCTCCCTCTCCTCCCTCGCCCTCCCAGGGGCCTGGGACCGGGACGCTTACACACCCCCTCCAAACGAAACCCTAAACCTTCGATGAAAGCCTGTTTGGGCAGGGTTCAGGGTTCAGGGTTCAGGGTTCAGGGTTCAGGGTTCAGGGTTCAGGGTTCAGGGTTCAGGGTTCAGGGTTCAGGGTTCAGGGTTCAGGGTTCAGGGTTCAGGGTTCAGTCAGGGTTCAGGGTTTAGGCATCTGCCGAACTAGGGGCATACCCATATCAACCCCCAAACAGCGTCGAATTGCGCCAGGCTGTGGTGGGATGCCTCTGTGTCGAGCCGGCTCCGTTTCAGGCTGAAGGCTCTCCCACGCAACGGTGGCCAGGGTTTGGAGATTCCGTGCGTACCAGCCCGGAAAAACCCTACGCCTTAAACCCTCAACTTTAGGGTTTAGGGTTTGGGGTTTAGGGTTTAGGGTTTAGGGTTTTCTGCACGGGCGCTCAGCTGTACTAAGCAACCTTCAACGACCCCAGGCTCCAAACCACGCGGAACCTCAAGCCTAAAACCATGGGCCCGCGCCTGACCTTTCTTGGGGTTTATGCCCCTCAGCCCGAAATTTAGGATTTCGGATGAGGGTTTAGGGTTTAGGGTTTGGGGTTTAGGGTTTAGGGTTTAGGAGTTTAGGGCTACCCTACATTTAGGTTTTTTTTGAGCATGAAGCGCGCCGACGCTGGAGCCTTGAGACAAACTCCCACGAGAGCGCATTCTGGTCTCATTGCTGTGGGTTTAGGGGTTTTGGGGCTTAGGATTTAGGGTTTAGGGTTTAGAGTAGGAAAGCGCAAGGGCTTGGAACGTGGACAGGGCGAAGGACCAAAAGCCTGGCTCTGCTTCAGTCGTTTCTCAGAGGCTCTTCGTCTTGAACGTATACTTAGTTGTCCAGTCACCTAGGGGGATTACAGGCTAGCCTTTGGGCTTTCATAAGGGCTAGCGTACCCGATACCCTAAACCCTAAGCCCTAAACCCTAAACCCTAAACCCCTTTCGCAGGGATTCAGCGCTCCCCTGGTGCTGAACATGTTCCGTCGCCAGGTCGCCCTGGTTGAGAGTTGGAAGGTTTCGCGTAGGATGTGTTTTTTTTTTTTTTTTGTGGGTTTAGGGTTTAGGGTTTAGGGTTTAGGGTTTAGGGTTTAGGGTTTAGGGTTTAGGGTTTAGGGTTTAGGGTTTAGGGTTTAGGGTTTAGGCTTCAGGGCTTTAGGTGCGGACACACACGTTTCACCCGATCGCTGAGACAGGTTGTCCAGAAGCACAAGAATTCTCTCAGAATGCACAACCGCCGAAAAGATTCAAGCTTAGCATTTGGGGCTTCTTGCTTGTTCCACTTTGTAGTGCTCAGACCTCTCTTAGCTCACAGAAGCCAGCAAGGAAAAGGCGAACGCCTCTCCAAACACCTAGTTGCAGTGATGTTGCTTGCAATACTACCATCCAAACCTGTGCCCCTGAACCCTGATGCCGTTGCACGTCGAGGTGCTTGTCTTATGACCCTAAACCCTAAACCCTAATTCCCAAACCCTAAACCTTAGCCCAGTTCAACCTTCGACCCCTGGCTAGCACCAGCGAGAATTGTTGGACCCCGGGTGTCTTGGGGCGCCAGCAACCCTAAACCCTAAACCCTAAACCCTAAACCCTAAACCCTAAACCCTCCTAATCCCTAAACCCTTAACCCTAAACCTTAGGGTTGGCGCCTTCTTGCAGGCCGATCCGTGCCCCGTCCCTGTCCTCTGACGCAGGATCACACGGAGGCGCCCGTAGTAGAGTCGCCCTTTGGCCCTACTAAGCGCTAAACCCTATACTATACCCTAAAGGTTTAGGGTTTAGGGTTTAGGGTTTAGGGTTTAGGGTTTAGGGTTTAGGGTTTAGGGTTTAGCGTTTAGGGTTTAGGGTTTAGGGTTTGGGGCACTAGACCTGGAAAGCCTAAACCCTAAGCCCTAGTTAAGCCCAAGTTCGGTTTCAGGTTTTGGGCACCAGGCTTGAACCCCAAAGCTTTGGGACTTTCAGCTTCCGAAGGGGGCGCAGCGCGGTTTGGGGTTTGGGGTTTGGGGTTTGGGGTTTGGGGTTCGGGGTTTGGGGTTTGGGGTTTGGGGTTTGGGGTTTGGGGTTTAGGGTTTAGGGTTTAGGGTTTAGGAGGTTGAGGGGGGGAGGAGGAAGGGTTCCAAGCCCAGTGCAGGGGTTCCTAGCCCCCTAAACCCCCTAAACCCCCTGAACCCCCTAAACCATAAACCCTAAACCCCCTAAACCCTAAACCCCCCCTAAGCCATAAACCCTAAACCCCCTAAACCCTGAAACCCCTAAGCCATGAAGATTGAAGTTGGCATTCCATGCCAGGGGCCACAGATGCCAGAGTTGGGCATCCATCTCGCGGGCAACTTGTGACTCTTGGCTTCAACTCCCCTTTTTTGAGGTTTAGGGTTTAAGTTTTAGGGTTTAGGATTAGGGTTTAGGGTTTAGGGTTTAGGGTTTAGGGTTTAGGGTTTAGGGTTTAGGGTTTAGGGTTCAGGTTCGGGTTTAGGAAGCAACCAGGGAATATCAAGCTTGAGTTTTATTATCTCTCTCTCTCTCTCTCTCTCGCTCGCTCTCTCTTTGGGAGGCCCTTGGGAGGGCTGGGAGGCCCCCCCCCCCCCCCCGAGCTGGGAGGCCCAGGACCCCTGCCGCTCGTTTTTGAGCTCCATGGTCCCACCCCCCCCCCCCCCCCCACCAAACCTTGACCGACAGCCCGCTAAAACCCCCGGGGGGGGGGGGGGGGGGGGGCGCGGAGACCCTGAAACCCTAAGCGCTAAAATGAACCACCGAGAGCCATTTGAAGGCCCTATATTGTTGTTTTTTGTTTTTTAGAGGTTCTTAAGAATAGTAGTAACCCTAATCCCTAAGCCCACCATGGACCACAGCGGGGGGGAGGGGCACCCAACCCAAAACCCACCATGAGGGGGGAATCGGGTCCGTGAATGCTGGCGCATATGTACCCTGGATGTGGGGCCTTTAGGGTTTATAACTTTGTGGTGCTTTACTGTAACTTTAGATCTTTAGCCTTTTGGGGTTTATTGGGTTTCTTAAATAGGGCAGCTAGAAGTTTAATTTTTTACTACCCTCCAAAGTGCAGCCAAGAGAAGGTTTAGGTTTAAGGCTTAGGGAATCCCTTCTTCTGCAACATCCCAAGGGTTGCGCGACTGGGGCTTGCACCCGGCAAGCGAGATGTGGCTGACGTCCAACCGGATGATGGTTCGGAACATTCCGGCGCGCTGCACTGACGGAGAGCTGCACGCAATGTTGAGCAAAGCACATCTTCCATATAGCCTCCAGATGCCCAAGAGAGAGTCAGGTTCAGATAGGACGACGACCGGGAAGTCGAGGGGCTATGCTTTCATTGCTGTGCCGCTTTCCTACATGCTCGTTACATTTGCAAGGTTGCTCTGGCAAGCTAGAGTACCTTCACGGGCATCAACTCGTACGCTAAAGATCCACCCAGCCGATCGGATGTTGACCCGCATCTCCGACTACGATGCCTTTTTGGAGCTGTAGCCGTTGCGGCCTCGTGCCAGTTTGTTGCTGACTAGGATGCCCAGTAGTTCCCGTTCTTCTCTTTTATGAATATGTGGATACCAGGCGCCCTCTGTAGTAGTTTCCGAAGCGCCAGGCATGTCGGAGTTGAAATTCGCTGGACGGGCGTCGCTTGTTTGTTTGGAGTTCTGAGTTCAGAGGGTTCAGGGCTCAGGGTCGTACAACACCCCTTCAAGTCCAGTTCGCCTTTTTCTTCCCTAGAAGACTCAGCCAGCAAGTAGATTGCCAACTTTGTGAGCCCGGTCGTTTCGTCGTTTCATGTCGGACGCCTTCCGCAGCAGGGTATGGCAGAGGTTGGGGTTCTTCCTCATCTGGGGGTTGCTCCGAATAATTCGGGTTTCGGGCTCAGGGTTGAGGGTTCAGGGTAGCTAAACACTGAACCCTGAGAAGGCGAACGCTCCCAAACCCACGTCAGAGTCCCAGAGACGAGATCCCACAAGCTGGCCTACTTGCAAACATGGTGGGAGTCGAGGAAAAATACCCGCAAACCTCCCTGAACCCTAATCAGAAACCCTAAACCGAAACCCTAAACCCTAAACCCTAAACCCTAAACCCTAAACCCTAAACCCTAAACCCTAAACCCTAAACCCTAAACCCAGGCAGTAGGTCAGTAGGATGGATGATGGCTGAGGGTTGTCCTCCGCGAATCGATTCCGATGTCGCTTGCTCCGATGAGGGTGCGCTGGTTGTTCTGCAGCAACCTCTTCGCAGGTTTCAAAGAAAAGCCTAAACCCTGAACCCTGAACCCTATATCCCAGCCCGCTTACAATCTAGGTCAAGAGTTCCCTTGCTGCAGAACGTGCCCGGCTTTCGCGCAGTCCGCAATGCTGACCCAGGACAGTCTCGACCTAAAACCCCAAACCCTGAGCATGAAAGCCTTCGCCGAAGTCCCATCAGGTCTCTGGGCATTAGCATTAAGAGCCTGGAGTGCAAAGTACAGATGTACCGAGGGGTTAGTGCTTAGGGTATTCTAAGTCAAGCAGCGGGCATGTCTACCACAGCGTTTCTCTGTTGCGATCGGAGCCTATGCGGCCACACAGTGCTGTGGCTTCCCTTTAGGGCTTTTGGAATTTAGGGTTCCCTAAGCCCTAAACCTCTAACCCCTCACCCTAAAAACCCTCAACCCTCAACCCTAAAAATCCTGAGCCCACCCTAGACCCCAAACCCTCCCTAAAACCTAGCCCTAAACCCTAAACCCCACCAAACCTAAATCCTGGAACGCTGAAGCGGTGCACCCTGCCACTGCGCGGGCCCGATTTCAGGAAAGGCCGTGCATCCTCTGGGTTCAACTTACTTCGGTTTAGGGTTTTTGGGGTTAGGGTTTAGGGTTTAGGTTTTAGGGTCTAGGGTTTAGGGTTTAGGGTTTGGGGGCCTTTAGTTGAACTTTAAACTTGTTGGGTTTCCTTATCTAGTAGGAATATTAAAGTTTAACCTTTTTGCCCTTGGCTATTGGAAAAGTAAGTCAAGGCTGCTTAGGGGGTTGCAGGGAGGGTTTGGGGTTTAGGGTTTAGGGCTCAGGGCTGAGGGCTTAGGGTTTCGGGTGAAAGTTTTGGGCGGGTTTGGAGCGAAAGTTTTGAGCGGGTTTTGGGCGTGTTTCGGCTTTTGTTTTGGTCTGGCTTGGAGAGGCCTCTGAGAGGTGCTTTTAGGGCTTAGGGTTTAGGGTTTAGGGTTTAGGGTTTAGGGTTTAGGGTTTAGGGTTTGGGATTTAGGATTTAGGGTACATTGCTTTGTGGTGCTTTACCGAAACTTTAGATCCTTAGCCTTCTTGGGTTTCATGGGTTTCTGATTAAGGCAGCGAAACATTTCATCTTTAGCTGCCCTCCTCAGTACAGCCAAGATTTGAACGCTTTAGCTATCTCCTCCATGGGAATTATTTTTTTATTGTTGTTTATAAAAAGCCCAAGAAGATATGGAACAAAAATATATTTGTTTAAGGTTCTAAGGGGAATATAGCTGGCTGGTTGAGGCTTGGCAAGGTGCTTCCCCGAGCTGTTGGGGCTTCCCTTGGCCTTTTTGGTCCAGTGGGGGAGCCTGTGTTTAGGGTTTAGGGTTTAGGGTTTAGGGTTTAGGGTTTAGGGTTTAGGGTTTAGGGTTTAGGGTTTAGATTGCTGAGCCGGCTTGTTGAGACAAGAAGCCCTTGGATATTCAGGTGTCAGCCCTTCGAAACACGGGCTCGACATGACGCACATGCGATGTCTATGTGTTTTGTCTTCAGGGTTTAGGGTTTAGGGGTTTGAGACTCTGAGTGTAGGGTAGTTTAGGAAAGCTTCTGATCCACGATCCCAGCAGAGAGCACGGTTTACCTCGCTTGCACGGTTGAACATCCCAGCTGTGCATGCCCATTTCAACCTGCTCATCTGAACTTGCCCGCTCGAAAGCTGAGTTTTGGGAGTAGGTTGAGTGAAATCGCGGCAATCCTAGGATGCCCAGTAGTGCCCTTATTCCCTTTTTGGGGGCTCTAGGCTCCCCTATAAACCCCTTTAAGCAAAAAAGGGCACCCTTTTTAATCCTAGGTTACTGGGCAACCTAGAATCTCAACACATTTTCGCATTCAATTTCAGAAGCTTAAAGGCAGTGGGCAAGCTTCGAATCGCAGAGCTTCAAGGCTTCTCAAGCGGCCGAGGGCAATGAAGTTTAGAGGTTAGGGTTTAGGGATGTTTAGGGTTTAGGGTTTAGGGTTTAGGGTTTAGGGTTTAGGGTTTAGGGATGTTTAGGGTTTAGCACATGGGCCATATGGATTTTTAGCCTTTCCTGAAATACGCTACATACCCGTAAAATGGGTACGTTTACCCCCAATAGCCAAGCTACGTTTGTTTGCGCAGGCGTTCAGGCCACGAACATCGAAACGCTGAAGCGCGCGATAAGCCCCAAGTGGTACAGACCCTCTGAGGGTAGTTACATGAGCCCCTAAATATGGTCCCCTACCACCTCTAAAGGGTTCTGACGTCTGGGTCCTCAATTTGTACAGGGCATATAAGGGGTATAGGAGGGGTGCCCCTTTATGGGCCCATATGAAGGGCCATGAAACTACCCCAAGAGACCCCAGAAGCGTTATCCTAAACTACTCCGGGCCGGGGTGTGAAGAAGTTGCCGCCCTCGCCAGCCTACAGAGAAGCGTGGAGATACTCTAGGGGTCGGAATAACTACTAATAATTTTCCCTTATGGTCCCTTTCGAAACTTATACAATTGTATCCCCCAAAACCCTATTCTACTTATTCAGGCCCCTATGTTACGCCACGAGAAGCACGGAGAAACCGTCCGTCTCGGCTTTGGGGTTTTTGGCTCACCTGGGCCACCAACCCCATCGTCACCGGGAAACCCTAGCTCGTAGAACGGCGCCCTGCTAAATGACTCTGGCTGTGTTGGTGGCTTATCAGAAGGGTTTAGGGTTTGGGGTTTGGGGTTTGGGTTTTAAATGGGGTTTAGGGTTCAGAGCTTAGATTATTGCTTAGCCTAAAGATAGTAAGACTCCTGCTCCTACCATTGCTTCGGGGACCAACTCCACCCTCAACCCGAAACCGCAAAGCCCCAAAACCCTAGGGTTTAGGGTTTAGGGTTTAGGGTTTAGGGTTTAGGGTTTAGGGTTTAGGGTTTAGGGTTTAGGGTTTAGGGTTTAGGGTTTAGGGTTAGGGTAGACCCTAAAGTCCCTCAGGCCTAAACCCCAAGCCCCCAAACAAGCCTGAAACCTCATGTGCCCTGCCAGGGCCGCAACGCCCTGAAGAACGACATACGTCTACGATTCACAGGAAAGGGCGTGATCTATGAGGATGAGGCGGCTTCCAGCTCTGGGGCTTTGGGTTTACAGGGTTTACAGGGTTTACAGGGTTTGCAGGGTTTAGGGTTTAGGGTTTAGGGTTTAGGGTTTAGGGTTTAGGGTTTAGGGTTTAGGGTTTAGGGTTTAGGGTTTAGGGTTTAGGGTTTAGGGTTGGGGTTTACAGGATTTATAGGGATTGTTGGGCTTACAGGGTTTGTAGGGTTTAGAGGGTTGATAGGGTTCACAGTGTTGGCTCGTAGGGTTGTAGGGTTTGAAGGGTTCATAGCGTTTGTAGGGTTTGCGGTGATCGCATGATCTTGCTGATCTATGATGCACGGTAGTGCCCTTATTCCCTTTCGGCTCCCGTTTCTTGGGTTGTCGTTGCTAAGCCCCAAAGCCTACATCCCGAAGCATAAACCCTGAACCCTGAAGGTTTAGGGTTTAGGGTTTAGGGCTTAGGGCTTAGGGCTTAGGGCTTTGGGTTTAGGATTTTAACCCCCAAGGGAGCGGTTCCTATCTTCCTAAGCCCCACGGCCCAAAACCGCAATGCAAGGTCAAGTAGGTTTGTTTACCCACCTCTTTGAGTTTTTTGTAAACAGCCCTGTGCCACAAACAACTACCATTTGCTTAAGAACCTTCCAAAAACAGCGAAGATTCTTCCTTATACGGTCAACATAGGGATTGTTATCTTTTACTTTTTTGGGGGTTCTTAAGCAAATAGGACAGAATCATAGTAATGGTAAGAGTATGAGCAATAGGAATGATAGTAGCAGCAATGGCACCTGTAATGAGAATTGTAGCAAACGTAGTAAGAATGATGATTGTGCCACACTCGCAAAATATGATGACGAGAAGAAGAATTATAGGCTCCTTGAGGGAGGGTTTAGGGTTTAAGGACTTTCGGGTCTAACCAAAAACCCTAAACCCTAAACAGGTACCTCCGGAAGCTTCGGAAAGCTTAGGGAGCCTTACTCAGGGAGGAGGAGGGAGCTAGGGAACCTTGGGTTACATACCCCCTTGAACCCCCCTCCCTTAAGGACCCTAAACCCTAAACCCTAAGCCCGAAACCCTAAACCCTAACCCCCTCCCTCAAGGACCCTCTAAAAGAATACGAATTCCCAGAAGCTGAAAGCCCACCCTATCCCTTTTGGGTTCGTGCCTTCGGGTTAGGGGTGCAGGGCTTCGTCTCCCTGAGCCCTCATCACGAAGCCCATGGTAGGGTTTAGGGTTGAGGGTTGAGAGTTGAGGGTTTAGGGTTGCGAGTGTAGGGTTTAGGGTTTAGGGTTTAGGGTTTAGGGTTTAGGGTTTAGGGTTTAGGGCTACAAGCCCCAGAGCCGCCCCACCCTGAACATCAAGCAGGTGGAAAGTTACTCCATCTACCTCGTCGGCGAGTGCAACAACACGTTGGAGCCGGCCGGGGGGGATCACAGATCTCAGGTGTCAGGGGTTTGAGATGTTGGGGGTTTAGGGTCTAGGGCTAGGGCTTTTCAGTTTGGTGACTTCAAGACTTGGCTTGGAGATGCTCACGAGTTTCACTTGCAGTGGCTTGGACGCTGGTGTCGTTGAGGCACTTGCAGATTTCCAGTTCAGGGTGTGGGGGGGGGCCCGTGGCCCCCGTCCTGCATTAATTACAGCAAAGCGGGTCGTCCAACGACTAAAAGAGGCCTAAACCCCAAACCCTAAACCCTTTTCTTCCTGAGCCCAAATTCTCTCCATTTGTGTGGTGTAGGGTTCCGAACTTTCCGTCTAGTTGTCTAGGGTTCAAATCGCCCAGATCTGCCCAGAACATTTTAGTTCGGGAGCACGGCGTGAACCATAAAGCATGCCCACATTGGGGTTTACAAAAATCAGGGGTCCCTAATATAGACCCCCATTTAGTACGATTCCCTTATAAGAAGGACCCCAATAAGGTACCCCCAATTTCGGAAACCCCCATATGAGGCCATTCAATCCCCGAAGCCCTCTAAACCCCTAGATCTGGGTGCTGAGTGAAGACATAAGCAACGCTGACCCTGAATCCAATCCGACTTGGTGCCGAAGTCGTAATAAAGCCATACATCCTAAACCCTAAACCCTAAATACACCCTAAACCCTAAACCGTAGGGCACCGGATCGAGCAAGAAACCCTGCTCCAATTTATGAATTTAGGGCACTGCGGTGGGCTTGAAAAAAGGTCCGCGAAGCTTGAGGCTTAATTCACGTAGGGGTTGAGGGGTTAAGGGGTTCATGGGTTCAAGGGCTCAAGGGGTTTAGGGTTTGAAGCTTTGGGGACATAGGGGAAGACTCTTCCCCTTTCCCCCTGGATTCTGGACCCTTCCGCCCTTCCGCCCCTGAACCCGGCGCAGGCTTTGGCACAGGTCGTCCCCACAGACTCCTCCAACCAGATCCTGTGCTGCGGCCCCAGGAATTGCAGAGCTCTTATACAAGGGTTTAGGGTGTAGGGTTTAGGGTTTAGGGTTTAGGGTAGAGGGTTTAGGGTTTAGGGTTTAGGGTTTAGGGTTTAGGGACAACACCACTTCTACTATTTGCTTAAGACCCCCCCCCCCTAAGAATGGAAGATAGTCTTTCTTACAAACGCAACATATGAATATTCTCTTTTACTTGTTGGTAAAGCAAAAAGTAGACTTGAAGGCTGGAGGTTCATGGGTACTTATAACCCCGACATAACAAGTCTACCTATATCCGATTATATCCTACTTAGGGGACTTAGGGGGTTTTGTAAGTAAATCCTGGACATCCAAGCACCCCCCCGAGGGTCAGAGCCCGGAAATTTAAGCCAAAGCATCCGTAAACAAGCTTTCCCATGCTGAGCTTCGGGCTTTAGAATCCTCAACCCCAAACTCTTCAGGGTTTAGGGTTTAGGGTTTAGGGTTTAGGGTTTAGGGTTTAGCGTGTTTAGGGGGTTTAGGGCTTCAGGGTTAGGGCTTCGGGATGGTTGCAAAGGAGATATGGGGCGCCGAAGCCCTTGTTGTATCTATACCCTAAACCCTAAACCTTAAACCCTAGACCCCGATCTAGGGCCGTACGGCAGATGACGCAGACGGTTAGATCGATGGACGCAGAGGCACATGTACCACAAGATGCCACATAAGCTCACGAGTCGATCACAATTCTGAGGGTAGCTACATGGTCCCTTAGTATGGGCCCTTAAAAGGGTACCCCTTTTATACCCCCCCTAGAAACCCTATACAAATTAAGGGGGCCCATACATCAGAACCCTGAAAAGAGGGTAAGGGGCCATATTACAGGCCCATGAAACTACCCTCAGGACCATACTCCAACCCAGCCATCTCGACATGCAGCAAGCCGGGCCGGACATCCCGTGAAGTCCAGGGGTTTAGGGTTTAGGGTTTAGGGTTTAGGGTTTAGGTTTGGAACATTTTTCTGGCACGGGATCATAACAAGGTTCTATCACTATTGGGTACATGAAGGGTGCGGCACGCAGTCAGCTCTTCAGATGACAATGTGTGAGATGATTTCTGCGCGAGTTGGAGTTATTCCCCCAGTTTTTTCGGTTCCAGCACACTGGCTCATGTGGCGGCGCATGAGGAGTCAAGAGCCGCGTGCACGCTGCTGCATCTAGCACTGAATACATATCCACAGCCTCAAGAAGGCTGCTTCGGGAGGTCACGAGAGTTGTCGTGCCGGACAAGCTTATGTTTGAACTCCACAGCACCAGCCAGTTCGAAGACCAATGTCGTTGTCATTTCTTAGTGTGGCGGCTTTAGATTGGACTAGAGCGTTTGTCTTCCGAACTTTAGTTTGGCTTGGACACGTGACGTGTCACTCGGGTTGGAGGTCTTCAATGCACAGGATTCAGAATGTGCGGCTGAGCGTGTCAAGCAGCCGTGTCTCGAACTTGTCAGTCCTTCGCAAAGTGCGCTGCGTAGCTTTCCCGCCTTAAATCCTCATCCAAGGCTGTGATGAAGAGGTCTACAATATCTCCATTGACAGCCCTTCGGGCTGCAAAAGGTAGCTTAGGGTTCAGGATGGAGCGTTTTGTGTGGGTTTCAGGGTGTTGCGGCTCTTTTGATGGTTTTAGGCACCAACCAGGGAGTGCAGGGCTTGTGTTTTGGGACTCAGACCCTTCAAGTTGGGGTTCCCCTGCCACTGCAGCGGAGCCCAAAATGTGTTCTCCTAGAATGGTGGTCAGACGCCCAGCATCCCGACAGGGCTTCTGGCCAGGGTTTGAAATGTGCACGGCTACCCGGGGCTTTCTGAGGCACGCGGGTGCCCTTCAACGCTATGGGAGTGGAGTCCGCGACTGGTATCCACGGAATCGCGGCAAGCCTTCCTGTTTGGGGAGCGGCCTGTCGGGCTTTTGGGGGGAGGCTTTGGGAGTGTTCTTGGAGGGGTGTGAGGTATTTGAGGGTTGATGCTCGGTTGCACAAGAAACGCTGGCCAGAGACGGAAGCCTACTTAGGATGTTTCGGGTCCTTTGGGGTTTGGGGCCTTGAGGGGCTTTAGGGTTCCGGGTTTGGGGTCTGGGCTCTTGGGGGGTTTAGGGGGCTTAGGGCTTAGGGTTTGGGGTCCGCGCCTGGGGGCTTTAGGGCCTACAGGGTGGTTTAATAAACCCTAAACCCTAAACCCTAAACCCTAAACCCGATTAAACATGTACATGACTCCAAGGTACTACACGGTTATAGCTGGTGACCTGATGTTGGGGTTCTTAGTGGCTTGGAAACAGAGGCTGGGTTTCAATGTGTAATGGGTGCTGCGGTTGGACTGGTCTCTAAGCTGGTTAGTAAGTCAAGACTTTAAGTTTCAGCCCCAGATCAACAGTTCACAGGCGCCAGAGACAGGGGTTCACTATTCGCCTCTTCTAAAAATCCTGCCTCAAAGAGTGAGTGAAGGGTCGATGTGTAGTGGAGAGAACGTAGCGAAGGAGAAGACCCTTGTGAAGTGAGAAATGTCCTAGAATTTAAAGGACGGCAATGACGTATGAATTCTATAGGATTTGTGCGCAGTATTTTGGGGTGTTAAAGGGGCCGCGACAAGAAATCGTTTCAATTGGCCCCTTTATCTAATATTATATTGTAAGGGAGTGAGGGGCTGTGGAAAAGACCCTGCCCCGAACTTGGTAGCCCTGTCACCCCTTGGCCAGGTGCGTGTGCTGATCCGGAAGTACAAGACACTCGAGCTGTCGGAGCACTACTGGGTCACACATTTCGTGTCTTTGGCTGCCTTTAGGGTTTAGGCTTCGTAGCTGAGTAAGTAACCTTTAAACTTTGGGAGTAAAGGTAGAATCAGCCCAGATTAACCTTTTTAGGCCCCGGGTACTCAGCAGCTAGGTAGGCCTTAACCTAGGATGTAGCGCCAGATTCGGCCCGACCCCCTGAAACCCAACACATGCGGGCATCCCTGAGACCGTGACGCTTAGAAAATCGAAGCCCGTGAGCCTCTTCCCTTAACTCCGGCCTTGTGCTGGAGAGCCCAAAGCGTTTTGGTTTTGTTGTACGAAGTAAGAGTCCATAGCGCGTGAGAATTGCGGTTTCCCTATGCGCTAAGCCAAAATTTGTGTTCGGATCTGAATTGGGAGATTGGGGGGGGGGGGGGGGTTGGGTGTTTCTCTTATCTCTCATTCGTGGCTTTGGGCTTTGGGTCGGACCCCCCCCCCCACCTTAAAATCAAACATTCCACTTTTGTTCTTATGCGTATATAATGAACATACCAGAACTTGAATAAGTGCATCAACATTTGCAGATACATGGTTTCATATATTCCAAACTATACAGAGCGGGATGTGTATGTGTGCGTGTGAGATGGGAATAGATGTGAGTAGGCGCTGGCAGCAGCATTACTAGGTAGGCACTTGGGATGTTTCATATTTCCCGTTCTTGGGTTTAAGAGGAACGTTTTTCGGAGGGCTTTCACCAAACCCCGGAAAGCAAAATGCAAGCTTTAAACCTTGAACTTACTCAATCCTAAAACCCTATAAACCCTAAACTCTAAACCCAAACCCTCAAACTCGAAACGGGTACCCTAAACCCTAAACTTGAACCCTAAACCCTCAAGCCCAGGAAGACAGAATCGATCCGATCACCAATGGGGCGCTGCCGCGTGTGCAGGACTGCTGGGTTTCGGGTTTCGGGTTCGGGGTACGAAATTTAGGGTTTGGGAGAGGAGGTCAGGGTTGGGGTTTAGGTTTTCCGGGGTCCTCCTCAAAAACACACAAAACCCTAGAACCCGAGCCCTGAACCATGGGCCGTGAGCCCTTAAACCCTAAACCCTTCCCATACCGCAAGTTGACCTCGCTGCCAAAATCACGGGGAGAGAACAAGTCCCATTCCCACGAGAAAATAGCGCCTCGGCCAGAGCAGGGTTTAGGGGTTTAGGGGCTAGGGTTTGGGGTTTGGGGTTTAGGGTTTCGGGTTTACTGTGCTTACTGTGGCATTAGGGCTCCCTGTGGGGCCCGGGCTGCGAAGTCCTCAAATTGAAGTCTTCAAGCCCCTTAGCCGAAATAATACAACAAGCCACCTCGAAAAAAAACATCAAAGAGCTTAGGGTTTGGGGGTGGTTTCGGGTTTAGGGGTTTTAGGGGTTTGAGGGGTTTGAGGGTTTTTTGGGGTTTGGGAGTTTGGGGTTTAGGGCGTAGAAGACCCTAAGCTCCAAACCTTACCTAAACCCTAAACCCTACAAGTGCGTGGGCAAGGACTGCTGGCTCTTCCTGGCCTTGCTCCTCCTGACCTCAGCGCAGTGACAGCTGTAGAAATTTAGGGGGTCTTGGGGTTTAGAGATGTAGATATTGGGGTTTAACAATTGGGCTTTCAAATCTAGACCTACTCCCTAGACACTAAAACCGAAGCCTCAAACTTCGGAATCAGAGGAAAAGGGGGCTCAGGGTTGAGGTTCCGTTCAGGGTTCAAGGCTGGCGTCCGGTACCCCGTAAGTCCTTAGGCTGAGCTTTCGGTCGCAGAAACCACCCTGAACCCTGAACCCTAAACCCTAAACCCTAAACCCTAAACCCCTAGACCCTAGACCCTAAACCCTATACCCTAAACCCTAAACCCTAAGCCCTTGAGGCACTATTCGGGTTAAGGGTGGCTTCCGAATTCCTTGCATGCTAAGTGCACCTCCACGCGATCGTGGGCGTCACGCAGGGGAGGAAGGTCGGGGCCCCCACAAGCATTAACTCCCCCCCCTAGACCCTAGACTGCAAGGTTACTGTGACAGGCCTGTCATAGGAAACCTAGCAAAACAAGAGTAAGATGAAGAGTAGTAGAAGTAGTAGAAGTAGAAGAAGTAGAAGAAGTAGTAGAAGTAGTAGAAGTAGTAGAAGTAGTAGAAGTAGTAGTAGTAGTAGTAGTAGTAGTAGTAGTAGTAGTAGTAGTAGTAGTAGTAGTAGTAGTAGTAGTAGTAGTAGTAGTAGTAGTAGTAGTAGTAGTAGTAGTAGTAGTAGTAGTAGTAGTAGTAGTAGTAGTAGTAGTAGTAGTAGTAGTAGTAGTAGTAGTAGTAGTAGTAGTAGTAGTAGTAGTAGTAGTAGTAGTAGTAGTAGTAGTAGTAGTAGTAGTAGTAGTAGTAGTAGTAGTAGTAGTAGTAGTAGTAGTAGCAGCAGCAGTAGTAGTAGTAGTAGTAGTTGTTGCTGTTGTTGTAGCAGTATCAGTAGCAGCAGGAGGAGGCCCTGAGGTAGCTATGCCGGCAGCATGAAAGTGCATGATTCTTTGGGTGCATGCCTTCCTCCCGCCCAGCCCTAGCAGGAGCCTGGCAAAAGTCAGCGTCAGAAACAGGAACGTCAGACGTGCGAGCTGCAGGTGAAAAGAGTCTCCGACACTCTGGCTCACGTTCCTCCGTATTACCTACATCAAATGCATTCATGTCTTCAACCCCCTTCCCTCAGCTACCTAAGGACCCCCATACAACTAAATGCACTCAGGACAGGTTGTCCCCCTTCGTATGCTAAGCTCCCTAAATCCTCAGAACCCTAAAGCTTCAACCTCGCACCCCAGGCCCTAGCGAATGAAGCGAAACAAGTACCTCCAAAGCCGGAAGCCATGAACCATAACTTGTCCAAGTACCTTGGCATACAACCCTAAACCCTGAAACCGAAAGCGGACACTCTTTCATTCAAATACTTACCAAAGGACCCAGAGTACGTAGGCCCTTGTTCCCTTTGTTTAGGTGTAGGTTCCCTTATAACCCCCTTTAAACCAAAAAGGGCACCCTTTGTACTACCCCATATGACAAACCCCTAAAGACCCTAAACCATGCCACCACTTCAGACGTTCGTCCGAAGGCCCCTAAGGCCGGATCCTGAAATTTGTTTCAGGGTTTCGGGTTTCAGGTTGTCGGGCTCAGGTTTGGGGGTTTAGGGTTTCAGGTTTTGCGGTTCGGGTTTGGAGGGTTTTGGGTTTCAGGTTTTCCGGCACAGGTTTGGGGTTTGAGGTTTGGGATTTGGGGTTTGGGGTTCAGCCCTTGCCTCCCTTTGCGATGCCATGTGGAACCTAAATTCAGGAAGCCAAAGAGGGGGGGGGAAGTTCAGCCCGAAAGCCTCAACCCCAAACCCCAAACCCCAAACCCCAAACCCCAAACCCTAAACCCTAAACCCTAAACCCCAAACCCCAAGCCCCAAGCCCCGAACCCAACAAACCCCAAACCCTGACCCTAAACCCCAAGCCCTAAACCCTAAGTCCGTTTTGCCGGGTGATCTTTTTCTCCAAGCCTTTTGCGACTCAGGAAGCCTTGCCCCACAGTTCCTTTTCGGTTTCAAGCCCAGGGGTGAGGGCAGCATGACATAGCTATTTGCAGAGCAAAACACTAAGTTCACTAGGTGTGGTTGCAGAATCTTTCCAGATGCAGTCAGCTGCTCAGCCTGCGCCCTTCAGACGATCTACAACTTCGGCATAGGATTCAGGGATTAGGGTTTAGGGTAAACAACCCCAAGCTCTGAACCCTGCACCCCAAAGCCCTCAACTCTAAACCCTCGTTGGAACCAGGAATGGGATTTCCCCAAGGTGATACCTTACAAGCAAGGTCTTATCCCTCCAACCCTGGACAAATCTTACTCCTACACTGCCTACACCCAGAGACCATCCCAGATACCCGAAATACCCCACTAAGGTACCCCTAGGCAACCCCCTTTTCCAAGGGGTGATTCGAGGGCAGCGGGCCCTAAACGCCACACACTAAACCCTAAACCCTAAACCCTAAACCCTAAACCTTTTAAAGCCCTCCATCCGATCGTGGCCATGCACGTCTTCGGCTGCTTTGCTGGCTGGAGGCTGATTGTGCTTGGGGCATACCCACAGACCCCAAAAACCCGTGATTGAGGATATGGATCCGTTATATCGTGATTAAGGACTAGACCCTCTTACCTAGGGTGTTTAGACCCTACACCCTGAACCCTAGACCCTAAACCCTAAACCCGGTTGGGGTCGTGGGGACTTCAGGGTTTTGGGGACTTGGAAAATTCAAGGGTTGATGCGTGTTTGTTGCGTTTGGGGGTTTAAGGGTTTAAGGGGCATTTGGATTTACGGCTTCAAGGTGTTAAGGGTGCAATGGTGTTTGGGGCTTAGGGGCCCAGGGCCCCTAGTTCGGGCTTATAGGGTTTAGGGGACAAGGTGTAGGGTTTGGGGCTGAGCAACCCTGAACCCGCAACCCATCGGCGTCTTGTGCTTATGTAGGGTTTAAGCAAGTTTACGTACCCAATGAGCCGAATACCCCTCAATTAAGGGATATAGGGGTATACTTTAAATCAGATTGTGGATCCCTAGATGAGTTAAGGAATATTCCTCAAGTACGGGATATAGGGCTGTTTGGGTAAAAAGCTTGCCTTCCAACACGGGACTCGGTACAATACTTTGCATTGCTTTCTGTCGTGCGAATGGCAGTCCGGTTGAATGTTCCGCCTGTCGCTGGTGGCTTGAGACACCGTTGAAACCCAAACCCTAAACTTTCTAAACCCCCACGATAATCCCTCTGCACCCAAAGGGTGCCCTACAAACCCCCGAACCTAAGTCCCGAAACCCTAAATAAACACTAAACCCTAAACTCTGAACCCTAAATTCCCACCCGACCTGCTTGGGCCGTACCCACCCTTTACTAGGGTGCCTGGACCCAGAATTATACCCGGGCTGAGCCTTCTACTTCCAAGGGGAACCTCTTCCTCTTGATGAGAATACCCTAAATGTGTGGCCGGAATCCTTCCGTGATCCTTTCCTTGGAGGGTATCATTTGGCCTTTGCCCCCCCCCCCCCGGGACCCCCCTGCCCCCTCCCCGCTTTGCCCGCACTGGCCCTTTTAGCCTGGCCCGCTGACCCCCTGCCCCCTACTCCCTGGCGCCCCCTGGCCCCCCCGAAAAGTTCGAAGCAATGGTGGGAATTGAGGGCGACAGCCCTAAACCCTAAAAGGCAGTGGTTTGGGTGGTGGCCTGCGAAAGCTCACAGCGGGTGGGGAGAAAGATGAAAATTGTTGGCCTGCAATGAAACCAAGTGCCTTCGCGTGACATGCCGCCCCCCAACACCCCCTGGGTGTGTCGGGGCGCCATTTCCACATGGCATCTACTGCCGCTGCGCGGCGAGACGCCTAAACCCTCAACCCTCAACCCTAAACCCTAAACCCTAACCCTAGACCGCCCTACTACGAGCCAGGGTGGGCAGCCGACATCGGCGCACGAAGTTGGCGCCGTTGCTTGCGCCAGGACGAAGGCTTCGGCATGTTCGGGGGGGTATAGGGTTTAGGGTTTAGTGTTTAACGTTTAGGGAGCTTTCGGGCGGGGCAGAGTCTTAGGGTTGAAACTTCTGTGTCTTGTTTAGGGTTTAGGGAGCTTTGGGGCGGGGCAGAGTCTTAGGGCTGAAGCTTCTATGTCTTAGGCAGCGTATTCGGTTGTCGCAGAGGGGGCTGTGTATGTAAGAGTCGGTCCCTCAACTTTCCTGGAAGAAACAAGGGAGCTAAGCTTGACATGGTCAGCGCGCAGGCGTGGGTGACAAATTGTGTGGTGGCATGACCTAAACCCTAAGCCCTAAACCCTACACCCCAGCTGAACGTGGAGATGCGTGACACGACTTCTATAGGAGAGCTGTCAAATCGACTTCTATAGGAGAGCTGTCAAATCGTCAGGGCACTGCACGCCAAGCGCCAGCATCCGTGTCAGGAACGGAGGTCTCCTCCCACTTGCTGTTGACCCAAAGCGCCCAATACCCCTTAAAGAGCCCAATACCCTTTAATTGAACTTCACGCTTGCCTAAGAGCCCAATATCCCTTCATTAAGGAGGATTCCGTAATATATATATATATAGATAGATAGATAGATAGATAGGGATCCTGAATCTGGATTTAAGGTAAATATTCCTTCTTTACAGAATGCACCTTAAATCCAGACTCAAGATCCCAGAGTATATTTCGGAATATTCCTTAATTTCGGGATATTGGGCTCTTTGGGCAGCGTGAAGAGTTGCCTGCGTGCTCCTTACCACATTGTTGGCCTTCGTTTGGGTTCATGCGCAGTTTATTGCGCTAAAGAAATTTGAAACCCAAACCCCCAAACCCCCAAACCCCCAAACCCCCAAACCCCCAAACCCCCAAACCCCCAAACCCCCAAACCCCCAAACCCCAAACCCCAAACCCTAAACCCCAAACCCCAAACCCCAAACCCTAAACCCTAAACCCTAAACCCTAAACCCTAAACCCCTTGCCGGGCAAAGGGTTCTAGATTTGGGGCTCCCGGAGGACTTCCATTCAGGATCCCTAAAAAACAAACTTAAGGAATATTCCCTAATTTAAGGGATATTGGGCTCTTTGTGGCCCGAAACCCTAAACCCGAAACCCTAAACCCTAAACCCTAAACAAGGGATCTTGGGCTCTTTGACCTATGGTCTCTTCAGCCTTCCGGGGCACCCCCTTCCCATTCTGCACTCAGGGCCCTTGAGGGCATCACCAGGACTCCTCGACTCGCACCTGAACCCTGAACCCTGAACCCTGAACCCTGAACCCTGAACCCGAACCCTGAACCCTGAACCCCAAACCCTAAACCCTAAACCCTAAACCCTAAACCCTAAACCCTAAACCCTAAACCCTAAACCCTAAACCCTAAACCCTAAACCCTAAACCCTAAACCCTAAACCCTAAACCCTAAACCCAGTCTTGCCTTTAAAGACGCGGATCCCTCGGACCCATCAGGTTTCTGGCCGCGGCATCCCTGTGCCTCCTCCCTTCGCTGGCATCTGGGCCTTTTGGGTCTTAAAAGGGGTTAAGGGATGAGGTTTTTTTTAGGGTTTAGGGTTTAGGGTTTAGGGTTTAGGGTTTAGGGTTTAGGGTTTAGGGTTTAGGGTTTAGGGTTTAGGGTTTAGGGTTCAGAGTTTAGGGTTCAGGGTTGAGGATTTAGGCTCGCAGTCCTCTGGCAGCTTCCGCTGGGTTGCCTCACCCCTTTTTTGGTGTGCCCTTCGGTTGCCGCCTGAGGGCCTAGGGGTTACACAGGTTTGAGGCATTCGGCTTTAGAAAGCCAAATGCCCCTGTATAAACCCCTGGTCTTCCCAAGTCCTAAACCCCTAACACTGGAGCCCGAAATAAACCGCCAGAAGAACACCATACATCACACCAGTAGATATGTAAGCGCGACAGAAACGCAGAATCAGTTCCCCAAACCATCCCAAACCCCTTGAAGTCCTGCACAGCTAAAGTCCGCAAACCCGAATTAAACCCCCCCAAGACACTGCAAACCCCCCAAAAACTGTAAACCCTAAAGCCCAAACAACCCCAACCCCTGAGTTAACAAAGGCTTTGCCCGCTCATGTGCTCTTAGAGGTTCTAGGGTTGTTGGACTGTAGGACTTTGGGTATCTTGGCTAAACGCAGCGATGGAGTTATGAGGGCTAAGCACAGGTCGTGGCACTTTAGGAGATAGATGTGATAAGAGCCTCAGTTTAGGGTTTAGGGTTTAGGGTTTAGGGTTTAGGGTTTAGGGTTTAGGGTTTAGGGTTTAGGGTTTAGGTGAAGCAGTGATGGACTGCATCCGAGGCGTTCACGGCAGGCCCTGTTCGGACTAGATCCTCGGGAGTCTTTTGCAGCGCTGCACCGAGCAAAGGCGAGGTGGTGCAAGACGTGACTCTAGGACGGACGCGGGGTTTAGGGTTTAGGGTTTAGGGTTTAGGGTTTAGGGTTTAGGGTTTAGGGTGCAGGGTGCAGGGTGCTAGGTTGAATGTTTGGGCAGTTCTTCGGGACTATAGCCCCTCTAAGAATTATTCTTTCTTGTTAGTTCTACAATTATAAAACCTAAGGGGCTGTTTAAGTTAATATTTGTATTCAGGTTCCAAGGGGAGTACAGAAGAAGGGGGGCAAACGTCAACAGTTGGCGTTGCTGTCATTGGTGTTTTTTGTCAGTCTCGCTGCGCTGCACGTCACAAGCACTTTCAGGCACTGCGGGCTTTGGGCTCAGAGCCTAAGCTGCGGAGAAATAGGCTCCCCGTATACGAACAGTCCTTAATCAGGATTAAGCTAACTATAATCCTATTAAGGCTGTTAGTATAAGGGGGAACATCCCAACAGAGACCAGTGCACAGGCGATACAAAAAGGGAGGGTTTTTCGGAGAGGCATGGCTTCAGACATTTGGGGGTTTACGATAACAGGGGTACCCTCCTAGGGGTCCCTTTTTAAACGGAATTCTACTATACTTGGAGGTAAAAAAGGGGTACCCTAAACCCCAAACCCCAAACCCTAAACCCTAAACCCTAAACCCTAAAACACTACCACCAGGAGCCACCTATGCCTCCACCTTCCTTGCCACGAAGGGCTCTGGGATCGCGAAGGCCCTACCAAGGATCGATCAGAGCCTCGCGCATTCGAATCAGGGTTTAGGGTTTAGGGTTTAGGGTTTAGGGTTTGTTTTTCCGAACTTTGGGGTACCTCACGCATGGAAGTTACCATCACTAAACCCTAAACCCCAAACCCCAAACCCTCAACCCTAAACCCTAAACCCTAAACCCTAAACCCTAAACCTAAACCCTACCCTAACCCTAAACCCTAAACCCTAAACCTTAAACCCTAAACCCTAAACCCTAAACCCTAAACCCTAAACCCTAAACCCTAAACCCTAAACCCTAAACCCTAAACCCTAAACCCTAAACCCTAAACCCTAAACCCTAAACCCTAGATCAGGCACGTGGGCCCGTAGGGTTTACTGGGGTTGCAGACTCCTTCAGCCTCGGAAGAGCCTGCCATGCCGACGGGAGACTGGGTTTAGGGTTTCGGGTTTCGGGTTTAGGGTTTCGGGTTTAGGGTTTAGGGTTTAGGGTTTAGAGCTTGTTCAGGGTTTAGGGTCCGGGTCTTTGGGATTACCAAATTAGGGGGTTACATAAAGGGACCCCAATTCCCAAGCTCCCTGCAAATATGCCATAAGCGTAAGGTGAAGTAACGTAGAACGGTTCCCGCGCTTATGTAGAATGGCCACTAACTTGCATAAGTTCCGGCAATCGGTGGTTTTCCGTGGAAAAACAAGTAGTGAGACGAACGGCATGCGTCATGCACGTGTACCTTTCCCAGGATGTCCAGTAGTACCCATATTCCCTTTGCCAAAGGCTAGTATCCCGTAAACCCTATGAACCCTATGACCCCTATGAACCCTATGAACCCTATGAACCCTATGAACCCGGTGAACCTACCCTAAGCCCTAAACCCTAAACGCTAAACCCTAAACCCTAACCCTAAACCCTAAACCCTATGTACAAGAAGTGGTGAACTGGTTGTCCTGAGGATCGGCCTGGTTCTGGCTTGCGTGGGCGTCGTGATT